CGTAGCCTTAGAGCTCGTGAAAGCAATGCAATTGAATTTGAGTGCATAATTCTCATTGTGTAGTCTTGATGAATTAAATTTCGCATTCTTAAATTTGATTCAACTTCAAACAATTCATACCCTATTGTCTTGTCTCTATGATTTATGTTGAATAAATATGAAAAATCCCTATCAGCTGTCAAATATCAAACATAAACATAATAATCTTACACTAATTATTATGTAATTTAGAGATTAGTGATTAACTTAATGACTACCGCCTTATTATTGAACTTTAAAATAGCCAATTCCAACCTATAGAATCTAAACGTTGAATTGTGCTCCTTTGAATCTTAGGTCATTAATTAAGAGTAATACTATTTGAACCTAAAAATTTGATCTAATTTGCTGACATAATGATGTGATTTTTACACAACTATTAGATCAACACTAAATTCTAATGTTTGATGGGTCCCAAAATCAATCCAAAGATCACAGTGAATTAGGTCAATAAATTAGGTTAGGTCTAATAGCATTGCTCTTAATTAAAGCCAGTTTCCTAAAGCTACCCAATCATTAACAACGAGAAGCAAATGATAAAGCGACATTATCATGGTAACTGGAAGCTTGATTTGGCAAAAGTTTAGGTGCATTTGAAACGAGCTTATTTGATGTAGTGAAGAGAATGAGTCAAAAAGTATACATATTGTATATCAATTGAGCAAATTGGAAATAAATTTGAGTAAAAAATTAAAATTATTTGAGTTGTGTCGAGCGAACTTAAGTTGAGTAACACAATGCTTAGATTCGACACGTGTATAAAACAAATTTAAAATTTTAATTAGATTTCATTCATTTTTACTTACAAATTTGTTTCTTTCACTTATCTGATATCATCCTTAGTCCTATCATCTTGTTGTTCTCTATAATTAAGAATATAAACTTAAAAAAAAAAACGTTTAAATCGCATGTATTGTACTAATTAATTGAGCTTATCGAAGTTATCAAGTTGATCAGATCTGCACGTCGCTTACAAATTCTTACATGCAAAATACATTGAAAACATTAAACAACATGTGTTATATATATAAAGTATCACATGAATGGTTAGATCTCTAAAACAGTTATTTATGCGCATAATATATGATTGTTTATCTGCGCAGACATTCTTACTGGTTCTTAAAACAAGTAAATTTCATTGTCACCTGGTGTATTATATGATTTATTGTCGTATGATTCGACCAGCGTAAACGACTCATCACTATATGGTTTATTCAAGGGTCAAACAAATAGCAGAGATAAAAACACCTTATTGCAATTTAATATTGTGAAATGAGTGACTCAAACTGTCACGGATTTGGCCGCTACTCAGTGTCAGTATGCTCCCCCCCTCCCCCCCTATTTTCGGACACACAAGTTTTTTAATTTTTTTCCAGGTAAGCAATTCATTAAACGGGAAGAAGTACATGTATACCAAACCTGAAAAAAAAAAATTCCAACTTGATCTCTTATCGCCGTTTCACTTTGATCGTAGCTATACCTTGTTCGGTAGCAAGAGATTCGGCGATAAAAGATAAATAGTTTCGATAAGAAGATTTGTAATTGCCTAAGGAAGAAGGGGAAGACAAGAATGATTGTTCGTTGTTCAACCATCCAATTCGATATTCTTCTTTATTGGCCAATTCGAGCATTTTCTCTCACCAAAAATCCCGCGGAATAAATAACAAAATGATTCTACCTTATATTGATATCTATAAAATATT